GGACGTGGGCGGGGCCCGGAATCAGCTGGGGCGGAGCCTGAAGGCGGGGCGGGGACATAGCTTGTGCCTCGGAGGCCGGGCCCGGAGGAGGCGTGAATGGGGGCGGAGCTGGCTCTGCTGAGTTCGAGCAGAAGGGGCGGGCCCGGGCTACAGGACCGTGTCCCGCCCCCACGTTCCACCCTTCCGGCTCGGCGTTAGGGCCACTGCTGCTTCGTTCCGCCCGGAGCCGGGTTTCAGTGTGACCGTCCCGTTGTTCCATCATCGTGCGGGCCTTGCGGCGCCCGAGCCCGCAATGTCGGGCCCCAATGGGGACCTGGGCGTGCCAGCGGAGGCGGGTGCGGAAGGCGAGGAGGACGGCTTCGGAGAAGCAGGTGACCGAGAGGGGCCGCTGAAGCGACATTTGCCTTTGCAGGGGTATTCTCCTGGGACAGGGAATTGGAGCCAGATTTGGGGCTTGGAAGCGGCCGAGGAGCCCTTCTCTCCCCTGGGTGGGTCCCGAGTTGCAGGCGCTGCCTCGGGGGTGCAGGGCAGGCACCTGCGACCGGGTCCCTGGCAACCGCAGCACTGGAGAACTGGGCAATAATGCGCCTCGTTTTATAAGTGAGGAAACTGAGGCAGCTCAGGGACACTCGGCCGTTTTCAGTTTGCTCCAGCCACTTCCTTGAGCCCCTGGAAAGACCGAGGCACCTGAGAGGGGTGGGGCCGGGTTTGGGGCTTGGATTAGCAGGAGCCGCTGACTGGGTGGGCGCGCTCGCTCTGCTGAGTCAGCATCCTCTGGCTTTGCTGTTGCTGGTGTGATCTCTAAGCCTTGCCGACTACGGCCTGTTTACATAGCAGCCTGTTGAATGCAGAGGGGTGTGGGGGTGGAGAAAACCAGAAACTGTCATGCCACCATCTAGAGCCTATCTCCCCATCTGCAAATTAGGAATGATTAATGTCTGCCTCATTGAGATGTGTCAGGATTAAGTGAGAAAATGAATGGAAAATAGTTAGCTGGTTTCCAAGCATAGAAGTGTTCAGTAAATGATTATTATTGCTGTCTTTAGTGTAATAAAGACTGGTTTATTACTTAGATTGAAATTTTTAGTACAGGTAGGATAAGTATGGGGTCTTTTTTTTTTTCTTTTTCTTTTTGGACAGCTTTATTGAAATATCATTCACATATCGTACAATCTACCAGTTTAAAGTATGTAATTTAAGAGTTTTTAGTATAGAGGTGTGAAGCCATTATCACCATCAATTTTACAACATTTTCATCACCTAGGGTCTGCTTTAGGAGCTCTGGTAGCATAGTGGCTAAGACACTTGCCTGCTAACCAGACGGCTGGCGGTTCAAACCCACCAGCCACTCCTCGGAAGGAAGGTTGGGCAATCCTACTTCCGTAGTGATACTGCCTCGGAAACCCAAGGAGGGGTCGCTATGAGTCGGGGCCGACTCGACGGCATATAACAACAACAACAACAACAAGGGTCTGCTTTTTAATAAAGAGGTAGAGAGGCCCTCCCAGTGGAGAACTGCGTGGGGAACTTAGGTCTGCCTTGGGAAATGCTGGTGACCAGTAGCCAAATGTCTATAAGCACTGCTGGCAGGAGGCCCTTGGCCAGGCACTGCTGCAGCTGTGGTGGAGGCATCTGGAAGGGCCTTGCAGAGAGGTCACATTGAGTGATGTTGGCAGATTCATAGTACTTACAACAGTGGGGAAGAGGGTGTCCCAGGCAGAAGGCAAAGGCTTGGAACTGGAAAGTGTCCTTGACATAGATAAAGCCTGGCCCAGGAGTGGTGTGGGAACACCTGCCGCCCTCATCCCTTCTGGCTTACATCCCATGACACAGAACACACAATACTGATAATAATGACCATCTATAAAGTACTTGCTGTGGCCACACCCTATCTGAAGTCTTGATATATTTCTCTCCTTATAACCACTCAGTCCTATCCCCTTTCCAGAGAGATGCAATAACTTACTGGAACATAGCAGAACTAGAAATCAAACCCAGGTCCGCCTGTCCCTCAAGTCTGAGTCTTGGACCTACCACTGACACCTTGGAGGACCCTGGAAGGTCCCTTCCTTTATGGGCCTCAGTGTCCCAATCTATACCGCTAAAGAGTTGGACTCTCAAATCCAGCCAAGGCTTGTCAGGACTTTCCTCGGTGAGGCTTGCCATCCACAGGGTGATGGGTGCCCTTCCCACTGAATGCGGACACATTCACATCACATCCCAGTCATGCTCTTCTGGGTGGCCTTTTCCAACCTCTACCAGCTACTTCCCCTTTGGTCCCGAGCTAGCAGCTGAGCGTATCTGAGCCAGAGGGGCCTGAGTCATGGGCTGGCTCAGAACTGGGTTCTGCAATGGGCACAGGCCCAGACCTTGGGCGCTAAGGGACAATGTGTTGCTGAGAGAACAGGTCAGGAGTGGCCATGAAGGAAGGAGGCCAGGGAAGACTTCTTGGAGGAGGAGGTATTTTGCACTGGTCCTTGAAAGGTTGTTGTGGTTGAGGCATTCCGAATGGCAGGGACAGTTGCACAAAGGCAGAGAGGCTAGACATCAGAAGCTTCATTCATTCTTTCATCCCAAAAAGTGCCTATTGTGTGATGGTGACAGCACCGGGGAAGCAGTACTGAACAAGGCGAGACCCACACACAAACTTCAGCAGTCCATCCTGAGACCAGGGCGGTGGAGGGTCAGGAACAGAGGCCTGATCCAGTCTGGGGCATCAGGAGGGCTCCCTGTGGTACCATCCATTCTGAGACTTGAAGGATAAGTGGGACTCATCCAGGAAGAGAGGAAGGAAGGAAGACAGAAGGAAGACAGTGTATTCCAGGCAGAGACAACGGCATGTTCAGAAGGCCTGAGGTAGGCAGAGGCAGATGTAAGGGAGAAAAAGAAAAGGCATGGGAGGTGGGGCTAGAGAAGGGAACAGGGGGGTCCTACTGCAGGGCCCTGGAGAGTCTAGTGGGTGCTTTGGCTTTATCCTAAATGTGGAGGGAAGCACGGAAGGGCTGGAGAACAGGGCTTGCCTGGGGAGCAGAGGAGGCGAGGCTGGACCTGGGGACAGATGCCTTGAATGCCTGACTCAGGAACGTGGGCTCTGGGCTCTAGGCAGCTGCTGAGGGAAGCAGAGAGGAGACTTGGGACCTAACAGGACTTCCCAGTTAAGACACTGTCTGGCTGACCACCCTAACCCTGGAAAAAGGTGCAGCAAAGCCTTTCCCCTTTTGATATCCATCCATTTCCCAGATGGTGAGACTGAGGCTAAGGACTTGCTAGGGACTTGCCCAAGGCCCCTTTGATGCTGTCTCCTAGCCCCCAAGGGAGACAGGCTAGGGGACGGTGTGGGGGTGGGGGTGGGAGTGGGAGTGTGTCTGTGAATCCCAGGGAGGCACGGGATCTGGGCTGTGTCTTCCCCTTCCTCCCAGAATATGCTGCCATCAACTCCATGTTGGACCAAATCAACTCTTGTCTGGACCACCTGGAGGAAAAGAACGACCACCTCCACGCCCGCCTCCAGGAGCTTCTTGAGTCCAACCGGCAAACACGCCTCGAGTTCCAGCAGCAGCTTGGGGAGGCTTCCAGTGATGCAACCCACTAGGCTCTGGGCGAGCCCAACCAGGCCCTGACCCTACCTCCCCAGGCCAGGCTGTGGCCTGGACACTCACCACCTGGCTTAGGTACCTTCTCAAGGGCTGTCCTCTGCCTGTCTGGGCCACCCTCTTGACACTCTCCTTAGCCTGCCTGACCCCCACTGGCTGGCGTCCCCTCCTGGAGCCAGGTTATGGGCTTGCAACCCACTCACATTGCCTGCCTGCCCGAATCCTGAGCACTCCCCGTTGAGTGTCCACATTAAACGGGTCTCTCTAACACTACTGTGCTACTCTCCTCTGTACCCTGAGATGAGGACTCCGCTGGCCTCTGGAGGTGAATGGGGCAGTCATGGTATTTCCGTGTTGATTGTGCACCAGCAGCTCACAGGCCAGGTGGTGGGGCTGGGGTTTTGGTCGTCTTATATTTGTAGCACAGGCAGATGAGCTGAGGACTTCTTCCCACCTGATGCACCCTGGCCAACAGCTGCTTCCTCAGCCCTGGCCCACACACAGCATCAGATGTACTGAGGTGACCCTGTGTGAGGCACTCAGCCTCTCTGGGTATCAGAACCTTTCATCAAGACAATCCAAGCTCACTACTGCCACAGACAGGCTGTGTGACCTTGGACATGACCCTCTGCCCTTGGCCTCAGTCTCTCCAGCTAGCTAATAACAGGGTTGGCTTGGTTGTCTACTTCTAAAAGTCTTTCCAAATGGTGAAATAGCAGAACTAAAGAGCCAGTCCAACCCCAGCCACATTTGCTAATGATTCATCACAGTGTTGCCTGATGAAGAGGGCATGCCACCCCCCACCTGGCTAGTGATCCAAGAACTCAACCACAGAGGGTCTGAGCAGTGAGGCACCCCTTCCTGCACTTCAACTTCCAGAGTCCAGCTAGACAAAAAAGCCAGCATAGGGGTCCAGAGCTCAGATCCTGGGGTTGAATCTTAGGCATTTACCAACTGTGTGACCTTGGGCAAGTCACTTGACCTTGCTAGGCCTCAGTTTTTTCATCTGTGAAGTGGGAATAATAACATGGCCCTCCTAGGGTCATTATGAAGATGAAGGAGATCTTCCTTGAAAGCACTTTCTTAGTCCTGAGAAATTACTGAGAGGGAGACTGAGGTTTGGAGAGGTGAAGTGCCTTATGTTCCCAGAGTCCCTGGTTCTCAGGTTCTGCCACCACACTGCATCCAGAGAGGCTGGGCACTGGCTGACAGCTGGCTGGAGTACTTCCCTTTCCCCATGCCCCCAGACAGAAGTCCTGGTGGGGACTATACAGCCAAACTACCTTCTTTTATTGGATTTTAAGTGAAAACACCAACCATGTCAGAGTTTCCAAGCAGACTCTCCTAAAAAGCGTTCCCAGACCTGGCCCTACACAGGCTGGGCATAGGGACTCCCAACTCCCTCTATCAGGTTTTGAGGCGGGTAGAGCGCCGGGGTGGTTGGGGCTGGGGGGGTCGGACTGTCACCTTGCTGGGAGTTTTGGCTGTATCCTGGGTGCTGTGCTGGGTGGGTGGGCGGCCTCCAGAGGTGAACAGGGCGGTCAAGGCATTCCGGGCGTTGATCGCACACCGGCGGCTCACAGGCCGGGTGGTGGGGCTGGGGTTCTTGGCCGCCTTGTATTTCTGGACATAGAGGGTGCAGGTGAGATCAGGGCTTCCTCCCTACCTAGTATGTTCCCGCCAGCATCTGCTTCCCCAGCCCCAGCCAAGACAGCACAGATGTGCTGTGTGACCCTGTGTGATATACTCCAGTCTCTCTGAGCCCAGCCTTTTGAACTAACAGCTTGACCTTCAACACCCCCTAGAACAGTAACAGAGAGAGTCCAGCCCCACCCTGGCTCTGATTCCTTCATGGGGCAGCTCCCAGTTAGAAGGTGCCAGGGCATAGAAGGGAGGTGGCCACTCGCTGTCCCCATCAGGTTGAACCGAGTCTGAGCCCCCAGGGAAGGACAAGGCAGGGCAGGGATGCCCAGCTCACCTGCAGGTTCTCAAAGTGGGTTAAGGACTTGCAGTGGGAGAGCTGTGCCCCTGAATTGCTGTGGTAGAACTTGTGGCAGATGCGGCAGACGTACCCCATCACGGGCACCAGGAAGTCCACACCTGTGGGACAGCAGGGTCTATGCACTTACATCCTCAGTGCCGGCCAGGTGTCCTGCCCTCCCAAGGGGCCCATCTGCTCCTGCACACTCCAGGTTGGAGCAGAAGAGATGAGCACAGAGGGACAGGCTTCCTGGCTGGAATGCTGCAGCAGGGATCTGGGGGAGCCCAAGAGCCCCGGCTCCTGCTGGCGGGCTCAGGGCTAGAGCCTTACCGTATGCGGTATTGGGGCTGTAGGTCTCCGAGCCTTTCCACTCTTCTATGGATATATCTCTGGACCTCATCTGGAAACATGCAAGTGTGGACCTTGGATCTGGCTTTCCCCCAGACCCTTCACAAACAGGTGGGAGGGTCTGGAATCCACCTGTGCTTTCCAACCCAGTCATCCCCTTGATTTCCAAGAGGGTATGCATAGCATTTTCTGAGCCTTTGCACATGCTAATCGTGCCTCCCAGAGTGCCCTTCCCAATTTGTACCTTCTAGGCCCTTGCAAATTTCACCTGCCCATCCTGGAATTATCACGATGTATATATTTATATGTTGTTGTTGTTTGCTGTCGAGTCAGGCCTGACTCATAGCGACCCCTCCTTGGGTTTCCGAGGCAGTATCACTATGGAAGTAGATTGCCCAACCTTCCTTCCGAGGAGTGGCTGGTGGGTTTGAACCGCCGGCCTTCTGGTTAGCAGTCAAGTGCCTTAGGCACTGTGCTACCAGAGCTCCTATATATTTACATAGTTGTGTAAAATACAGTTCCTATTAATAATAAATTGTGGCATTCATCAGTGCCAGCACAGTGCTGGCCTCAGGGGAAGAAGGAAGGGTCCTTCCAGGGCTGGGAGTATGGCCTTCAGCCCACCCACACCCACCCCCTATCCCTGGCACCTGTTTGCATAACTCTTCCTCAACCTCGATCTCTTCTTCTTCATCGTCCTCCTCCTCCTCCTCTTCATCACCCTCAAAGCACCCCACAGCATCCACCGTGATGAAGTGGTCCTCATCTTGACCAGGTATCTCCTTCTCAAGCATCTTCAGCTGCCCAGGGGAATGGGTGAGGGTCCAGATCAGCTCTGGGCAGCCAAGGCGCCACGCCTCACCAACCTTGCACCCCTAAAAGTTCCATTCCCTCCAGACCTGCTATGAGTTTGGGCTGGGATAAACCCCAACTTGCTGTGTGGCCTTGGCCAAGGCTCTGTGCCTCTCTGGGTCCATATCCTCTGAGGGAGCCGGGGTTACCTCCTTGGCTTTGTCCTTGTGCCCCTGGGACTTCACATGCTCCACAAACTTGCGGGGGGTCTTGAAGTAACGGCTGCAGGCGGTGCAGAACGGCCGCAAGGAGTGTTTGGCGATCTGGGAAAAGGAGGCCAAGTGGGTGGCGGGCAGCGTCCCCAGCTGTTAGCCTCTTGACGAGCGGCCCAGCAGTGCCTGGAGATCCCTCACCTCTCACCTGCGTGCCCATCACATCTGTAACAAGCCGAGCTGCTCTCTGCCCCTGCACTGGTGGGCAAACACATGTAGCTGGCTATGAGAGGGCAGCAGAGAGACAGGCCAGGGACAGAGAAGACACAGGAGAGAGGGCAGCACCCCATTGGTCCCTTGCTCCCATTGGACAGATAGGGAAACGGAGACCCAAAGAAGAAATAGGACTCTGACTGACTCATCTAGGAACCACACAATGATGATCTTTCAGAGACAAAGACCAACATTTATTTCCACTCCCAACCTGAGCGCCCTCCTTCTCCGGCCCTCAGCTTGGAGCTAGCACCCGCCAGTGCCTTTACAGCACACAGGCCCTCGCACCTTGTGGTCCTGTGTCCTGCGGTGTTGGATCAGGTCCCCCACGTAGTACACCTGGCAGGTGTTGCACCAGCGCCTGGGTGGAGGCTCTCTGAATAACAAAAATAAAAAAAATTACTATGTGACAGTGTTCTTACAAAGAGAGCAGCTCTCCCAGATTACTCCACAAATATAAGGCAATTGCAAATTAAATTCCAACAGGATCTTTTTTTGAAACTTAACAAGCAGAAATGGTTCTGAGACACACGGAGATAGCTCAGAGGGCAGAAACGCGTAGGAAAGGAGGACATGGGGACAAAGCTAACTATAAGGAGGAAGTGGGAAGAGAGCAGTTACGTTATGAGGATTGCAATCAATGTCATGAAACAAAATGTATATGAACTGCTGAGTGGAAAATGAATTTGCTCTGTAAACTTTGACCCAGATCACACACACAAAAAATGGTTCTGAGGTTCATCCTGACAAACACTTAATACCAAGGAAAATGTTGGGGAAAAATGAGATCTGAAGCATTTGGAACACCAGCCATTAAAATTAAAATCACAAGCTACAATAGTTAAAACTGTAGCATGCTGCACATTCCAACAGTGTATCAAATATAGATAAGCACTTAGCTTTTGACAAATGGATGTTGAGAAGCATAGATTATGCAATATTTTATGTCAGGATAGTTTGCTGTCCACTTGGAGAAGAAAAAGTTTGCCCTCTCACTTTCTGTTGTTGTTAGGTGCCATCGAGTTGTTTCCAACTCATAGCGACCCCATGCACAGCAGAACGAAACAGGGACAACTCAGGGACGCCCAAAGCAGCAGGCCAGAAGAGCAGGAGAAAGGGGACTAAAAGCCAGGAAGCCAGACAGAGGTACAGTCAGCCACAGGGACCCAGGTGGGGGTGATACGAGAGGTCTCCAACAGCAAGACAAACTTGTCTGTCGGTTTGTCCTACTGTGGTGACATGTAGACGAGAGTTTTGAGGCTGAGCCTCTGGTGTTTAAAACCCAGCGAGATGCACCTGGTGCACAGGTAACAGCCCAGCTTATAGACTGAGACAGACTAGGAAGAAGGAAGAGGCCATCCACTTCTCAAAGAATTGGCCAGGGAAAACCTTATGAATAGCAAAGAAACACTGTTTGGTACATTACTGCGCACCTTTAGAAATAGTCCGTTTAGGCTAAAAGGCTCTCAAAATAGGACTGGGAAAGAGCTGCAACATCTGAGTAAACCCAGCCTTACTCTCACTTCCTACTTTCACAATAAATTCTAGCTAGATAGAGATTTAGATGCAAAAATCAAAATCATGGACTTGGTGATTATTAGATCACGTCCTTGAGATAAAGCATGAGCAACAAAAGCAAACATAGATTTCATCAAAATGAAAATCTTTTGTGAATCAAAGGATATTATCAAGAAAAGTGAAATGACAACCTACATGGTAGAAAATGTTTGCAAATAGTATCTTTGATAAAGGTCTGTTGTTAGGTGCCATCGAGTTGGTTTTCAACTCACGGGGACCCCATGTGACAGAGCAGAACTGTCCCATAGGGTTTTCTTGACTGTAATCTTTATGGAAGCAGATTGCCAACCTTTAGGTTAGCAGCCAAGCTCTTCACCATTGCTTATCCAGAGCTCCTTGATAAAGGTCTGGTATCCAGAATATATATAAAGAACTCTTATGAATCAACAACAAAAAGACAACACAGTTGAAAAACAGGCAAAGGACTTGAACACATATTTCTTTAAAGAAGATATACATAGAGATAAGTTTTGATCTGGGTGAAGAAAAAGGCAATGTACCAAATGTAAGTGATCAGTATAGTGGCATTGAGGAAGAGAAAGACAGAGAGAGGTAGGTGGGAAGTACAGACAACAAAGATGAACCCTTTTGCACATATAGTACGGTGTGCTCAGTGAAGGCAAACACGGGTATATGGGTGGATAGATGGGTGGACAGGCTGAAATATTAGGTATCTATATGAAATTGCACCCAAGAACATGTATAGGGTTGGCAGACAGTAGTGGTCCAATAACTTTATGTGTATGATCTGAATTCCCAGGTGTATAATGGGGCTGACAAGGGGCAAGGTTGTAGTCACTGCTTGGTCACAGCCAGCTACCCAGAGGGACCGAGTAGTTGAACCTGTGGGCTCGGGACCAGAGTCACAGAGGACATCAAGCTCAATTGGCATAACATACTACACAAATCATTGTTCCACCTTCTAGTGGTGAGTAGCGACTGAGATCTTAAAAGCTTGCAAGCTGCCCTCTAGATGCAATGATGGGTCTCTCCTCGTCCAGAGCCAAGAAGAATGAAGAAAACAAAAAATTCATAGAAACAATCAGTCCTAGCGACTGGTACACCATCCGATCTGCAGCCTATACGACTATGAGACCAGAAGAAATAGACGGTGTCCAGCTACTACTGTCAACCACTTGGAAGAGGATCTTTGTAGGAGATCCTGGATAGACAGGAGGAACAATGTGGAACAGAACTCAAAATCATTTGAAAAAGAAAAAAAAGCGGGGAACAGGTTTGCTGGCCCGATAGAGCCTAGTGGAACCACTGAGACTATAGCCCCTAGCTGCCCTTCAGGTCTGGAATTGAATGCACACCTGTGGCTTCCAGCCAAGCAGCAGACAGGCATACTAGTTGAGCATTTACCTGAGGTAGATACACTCCTTGGAGAGAACAAGCAAGAGAGAAAGAAGGGCTGCTCAGGCACAGGGAGACAGCTCAGGGGGTAGGAGTGCATGGAGGGATAGACACAGGGAAGCGGTACCTATCGGGAGGAAGTGGGAGAGGAGATGTTGCATTGTGCTAAATTGTGGTCAATGTCATGAGACAAAGTGTATGTGATCTGCTGTATGGCAAGTGTATTTGCTCTGTAAATTTTCACCCAAATCACAATAAAAAAAGAAAAAGAAGAAGATACACAAATGGCCGACAAGCATAGGAGAAAACGCTCAACATCATTAGTCATCAGGGAAACGCAGATCAAAACCACAGTGAGATACCACTTCACACCCACTAGGAATGACGCTATATCCATATTGAAAATAATACGAGTGGTGAGGATATGGAGAAACTGGAACCCTTATCACTAATGGTGGGAATTACAAATGATAAAGCTGCTATGGAAAACAGTTTGGTGACTCCTCAAAAAATCAAACATAAGTATTACCACATCAGACCAACCCAAACCTATTGCCCTCAAGTCAATTCTGACTCACAGTGACCCTACAGGACAGAGAGACCTGCCCCATAGGGTTTCCATGGCTATAAATCTTCATGGAAGCAGACTGCCACATGTTTCTCCCACAGAGCAGCTAGGGTGGGTTCGAATCACCAAGCTTTTGATGAGCAGCCACCAGAGCTCCAGAATTACCATATGACTCAGCAATTCCATTCCTAGGTGTATGCCCCAAATGACTGAAAACAGGTACTCAAACAAATACGTACACAGGAATGGTCATAGAAACCATATTCACAACAGCCAAAAGGTGGAAACAGCCCAAATGCCCAACCACAGATGAATGGATGAACTAATTATAGAATATGCATACAATAATAGCGTATTATTCAGTAATAAAAAGGAATGAAGTAGTGATAAACACCTGGATGAACCTAAAAACATGCTTCGTGAAAGAAGCCAGACATAAAAGGTCACATATTGTATGATTTCATTTATATAAATATCCAGAATAGGTAAATCCATAGAAACTGAACACAGACGGGATTGCCAGGCGAAGGGGAAAAAGGTAATAGGAAGCGAGTGCTTAATGGGTGTGAGCTTCCTTTTAGGGAGATGAACATGTTTGGAACTAGACAGAGGTAGTGGTTGCACAACATTGTGAATGTACTAAATGCCACTCAATTGTTCACTTTAAAACAGTTCGTTTTCTGCTATATGAATTTCACCTAAAAAAAAATCAACCATATATATATATATATGTGTGTATATATATATGTATATGTATGTGTGTGTGTATATATATATATGTATATATATATGTGTGTGTGTGTATATATATATGTATATATATATGTGTGTGTGTGTATATATATATGTATATATATATGTGTGTGTGTGTGTGTGTGTGTATATATATATATCCTAAAGAAGTGAGAGCCAGGACACGAATAAATATATGAACACCCATGTTCATCGCAGCACTATTCACAATAGCAAAGAGATGGAAACAACCTAAGTGCCCATCAGTGGAGGAATGGATAACCAAACTGAGATACGTACACACAATGGAATGCTATGCAATACTAAAGAATAATGTAGAATCTGCAAAAGATTGCATAACATGGATGAACTTGGAGGACATTAAACCAATCACAGAAGGACAAATATTATAATAGTCCACTATTGTAAAAAGTCAAGGAAAGGTTTATACATGGAAAGAAACTTTTCTTTGTTGGTTACAAGGGACAGGAGGGAAAAGGAGGGGAGAGAAATTCCTAGATACGTTACACACACACACACACACACATACGGAAACCAATAAATAAATAAATAACCATATATTTAAAAAGGGAGCGGGCAAATATGTATATAATCTTAGGTTGGGAAGGATCTTTCTAAATGTAACACCAAGGCCAGAAATCAAAATGGAAAAAAATGATAAATCTGCATAAAATTTAAAACTTCTACACATTGAAAAATGTCACTAAAAAAAAAAAGAAAATCTTAAAATGTCAGAGACAAGGTGTGTGGTATCCCAGGCCAGAGCGTATCCTTTCATGGAGGCAGCTTGCTACAGAAGAACCACCAAACATACACAAAAACATATTACAAGTTGGTAAAAATACAAACCCTCTGCAAGAGAACGCACATACACATCTTTACATAAATGTCAGGGGGCTCATGGACCCCCCAGTCCGCTGATGGAGCCTTAGTAAGAACCCTTGTTTGCAGAGGGAGATTTAAAGACTTGGAAAAGATTCACATACATTGTGTGGCATGAGTCAGATTTTTCTTTTTTAAAAGATTAATTGTATAAACACAGAAAAGATCATAGGAGGATGAATATAGGCCAAAATAGAAACAATGTTTATCTCCAGGCAGTGGGGTTATGAGTAATTTTT